AACATTCAATAGTGTATGAAAACAAGCTATCACTAGATCATTACTTTCTAATCCCTCATATTTCATTTCTTATATTTAATGTATACACTGAAAAGAAAAGACCATCTCAATCATTAACTGTTTAGGAAGCTATTTACTTAAATTGTTGAGAGATAAACTTTTTAAGATGGATAATCACAATGATTTCTGATGACTGAGAGTTACATTTTTTTAACCATATGTTTATGCTTCAAATATAGGTTAAAAAAACTTAGTATTCACCACAATTACACTGTGGTACGTGTTAGAACTGATACACTGTGATACAGATATTGTAAAATTATATCACAAAATTTAGCATATTATTTATCAGTAATCAAGAATCTCCCCAATTAAATTAGTATAAACCACACAGCAAAACAACTGCTAATCTAGAAAATAGGAAATAGACATGGAAGATGTATAAGCAGCTGGGGGATATGGAATTTATCCCACGAGTGTTGTTAAGAGCTCATAATTTAAGAGTGCCAAAGCCCAAGTGTGTTATGAGGGTCTTTTCTCAAAAGTGCCATTAATTACATATCCCACAGATGCTTATTATGGATTCTATTTATATCAAAGTATAAAATATAGTCCAAAATGTACAGATTCAATATATTTAAAGTGATAAAATAGTTATTCTGGCCTAGCAAAAACTGTTAACTTAAACTTCAACTTTCAGTCTCTTCATAAAAGAGACTAATATCGAATTTTTATATGAATCTGCTGTTGTGAGTCTATTGGACTCACAATATGATATGTCATCAGTGATCAAATCCTAACACAAATATTTTAGATGGTTTTGCATAAACATAACCCACAAGTGATGAAATCACAGGATATTCTTATTCTTATACTAAAAATGAAAATACCACAGAAACAACTCTTAGAAATTACCTTGGCAAGTTGGAAATGATGTAGTCAATGTTTAAATTGGAAAATTGGTCAGTATGCATTGACAGGACCATATAGAACTTAATCTTTTAAAAAAGTTCAATATCAATCAACAATTGGCAAACAAAAGACAACTCAAGAGGTAATTATTCAAATTAAAGCAAGAGAAACTTCATTCCATGTGCAATAGGAGTAATCTTTCATAAAGTTAGTGAAAAATATAGTGTAAATTACTATTAGGATATGTTATTTTATAATATACTTATGTTGAACATTTAATTGCAGATTAATTTTGTTTAACCTAAAATACAGGTAGAAAGTCAATTTAATATTTGCTAACAACAACAAAAAAATCAAATTACCCAGAAGATAACGCACTTAAATATATAAAATAATAGCATTACTAAGCAAGCGATTATATAACATTCAGGACTTCATGGGTATATATTTTCAGATATTTCAAAATAAATATTAATTTATATAGAACTACGATAAACTAATTTGGAACGAGATTATTCAATGTTAGAACAATTAAAATTTTTATACTTATCATTAATTCTAATTTTGTTAAGTAAATTTATTAGTAAAATGGAGCAAATATGTTTACAGCTGGCACATCTCTTACCTCAGGAGACATACATACATATTCTCTTATAAAAACTGGTGTTAAAAATGGAATAGTTGCCAAATTTTTCTTAATGACAATTATCACCATAACAGGAAGCAAATTTAAATAATTTTAGAAACCTGGACTCAATATGGGGTATACCTTAGAATTGCTAAACACTTTCCCCTCATGTAGACATATATTTATGATTTATTCCTCAGTCTATATAAATTGCTGGTATTGATAACATTTTGCCATTGGCTTATTCATTATTGACATTTTTACAAAATTGTTTTCTAATTTTGCTGAAACGGTTTATAAGAAAATATTTGTTTTGTTTGAAAATCAAAATTTTATAAAATGGCTAGCATGTAAAAATACTTTAGGTGACACAACTATGAATTAGGTCATCTAAGAACAGTTTTTATTAATTGAATATTATTTTATATTTTTCCATGTGATAATAACTTACTGAAACCACAGACTATATTTTCAAGTATTAGTTTTGAATATAAAATGAAATTAACAACTTTTTCCAACAGGAATAAACAGTGGCACCAGCAATTATTTAGACTAATACATTTCCAGGTAAGAGAAGCACAAGCTTTAGTGAAGAGAACATAGAAGGCCAAAGAGAAAGCAAGAAGGGTTCACGAATCACATAGTACACCATATTCACATAGCTATGATATCCTAATTAACAAATGGTAATGACAATAATGATAATGAAAGTACTT